GATGGCACTTATGAAACGCTATGTACTAAAATTTAAAAAAAAAATAGTCTTATATTGTTTTTTCTTAAAAAGACTGCCTAAAGAATTTAATTATACTTAAAGTTAAATAAATTATTAAGTGTTTCTATAGTACATGATTTTGGGGTAAAATTTAATTCTAAATTATCTTTCATTAATGACGACCATATAATGCTTTTTATTATGAATAAAAGCAAAAATAAAGCTTTTGTAATGCTAGTTTTTTTAAAACACGCCTATCAAAATATTAGAGATGTATCTGCATTAAATATATTATTATATTACTCATTTATTTCTTCAAATTTTGATTATTCTTTCCTAATATGGCATCCATATTTAGTAACACAAATCAAAAATTTAAACAAAATATAAAATTATTCTATCATATTTGTATGTTTTTTAATGTTTTGTTTAAAACTAATTAAATTTTATATCAAAATATATAAACTTTAAAATAAATCCAATAAATTGCCGATATTTTAATTTATTATACATAAAATATTTAATTATAAATTATATGCTAAATTCACCAACCTATATCTTAATATCTACAGATCACTCTGTATAGAATATTTATTTTTTTTTTATTAGATCTTTAAATCTTTATATGGCAGTCGTATTTAGAAATACATAACATATAACTAGAGTTTAAAAGCATAATGAGTTTCCTGTTTTTTTTTTAAATTTTTTTTTTTATAAAATTCAATATATTATACAATATTGATACCATTTTGTTTTTTATTTTTAAAATTATTATTATTATAATTGTTATATTTAAAATTATTATATGTATATTAAATTATATTATATTATTATTATATATATATATATGGAACTAAATATCAAGTGTATGGATAGTATATCTATGGAAAATATATAATAATATAATAAGTAATAACATTACCATTATACTTAGTTACGATAAATTAATCCAATAGTTTTTCTTTTTTTTTAAGGTATACTATTTTTTAAAGGTATGGTCACAACTATTTTAAATTAAACTGATGGTGTATTAAAGCAAAAGGGATATCTATAATAAAAAATTAATTTGAATTATTTATATTTCTTTTTTTAAATTCCATATATGAAAAATAGTTGACAAAATACTTGCATTCTGCATCTCTACCAATAAATTATTTTAGATTCAGAGTAGATTGATAGATGTACTGATTTTACAACGAATGTGTGCTTTTTGTGTTTATATCATCACTTTTTTGAGCAGTAAAAGTACTTAAGTTTTTAACTTTGGGGACAGTTTCTGATAAAAAAATTGGATCTAGTTAGTATTCTAAGTGGTCAAAAGTATAAAAATCTAAATACTATTCTTAATTATAATATAGAAAAAGTATTTTTAATTAAATTGTTTATTTTGTTATGATTCAAAAGCTTAAAAACTTGAAGTTTTCACCGAGTGTTTAATATAATCATTTTATATGAGTGGTATAATTTTCAAAATACTTTGGTTTTTTTTAATAATTTATAAATAACTACTATTTTAATTATTTCATTAAATGTCAATATAAAAGTGTTCGTTTGATTAAAAACATGAAAATTTAATACACGGTTCCTTGTAAATTATTATTGATAAAAAATAAAAATTGCTGAAAGTTAACCTAAGTACAAGGTTAAACTTTTTAATTAAATAAATTAATTGTTCATTTGAGAAAAACTAATAATTAATTTTTAATAAATTAGAGTTAAGTTAATGTTTAAATAAGCTAGTTTAACTTAAATTAATATATTTTATTTTTTCTTATTATGTCAATCAATATTTAACAAACAAAAGTAGTTAACTGTAAACGCAGACAAAATTAAAGAAAGACCGTTAGCATTTAATACCACTCTGTAAGTATTTAATAACTAATTATATAAAATAAATAAATTTAAACAATGTATTAATTTTGGTTATTTATATACGTTTAAAATGAAATTTTTATGATGATTCTACTAATTATATTGTTTAAAATATTAATTAATTTCATAATATTCATATAAAAATTATAGTTGGTTACCTTTATAAAACCTCTTTAAGATGGGTTTTTAAAATAGTATAGCAAAGTATAGTTACTTTTATTTATAAATTTATATTTCAATAGTTAAATTTATTATACAGATACTTTTTTTGGGTCAAAAAACCAACTGCGAAAAATTTCTTATAAGAAGATAAATCTGTTTGTCTAGGACAGGGGTGGCGAACCTACAGCACGCGTGCCAGAGGTGCCACGTTGGTAAAATTTCAATGGCACGCGTGAAAAATTAAATTTTAAAAAATTATGCAATTTATAAAATCTTGGTTATACCTTAAAAGATAGTCAAAGAAACGAATTATGTTTAAAAATTATAATATTCCTTTGTAAAATGCATTATATTACTATATTATTACTATATTTATTTTGTAAGTTTATTTTTTCCTTGGAAAATATAATTTTCTTTGGGCACGTGAAAAATTTTCAAAACTTTGATTTGAAAAATTTTACACTTGACCTAAAAAAAGTTTGCCATCTCTGGTCTAGGATTTCTACATCCAACAATTCATGTAGTTCACAAATCTATAAACAAGTTGAACAAAATGTTCTTTTACAAATTCTTTATTGTTGCATTTAAAAGATAACAGAGTTAAATAAAAGGTAAATAATTTAGTTATATTTCATATTATAAAAATTATTAGCTTATGTAAATTTTAAATTATGTCATAACACTTGAATATATATATATATATATATATATATATATATATATATATATATATATGGATTGATTTTTTTATTAATTATACTTATGTAATCAATAAAATGTATACATTTTAAAATTAAAAGTATCTACTGGTTTATAATATTTTAATTCAATTCACCCTAAAATATATTAATTGTATTAGAAGTATGTGCTAAAGTACACTTATAAGTATAGAGTATAGAACAAACTGTAAATCTATTATCTAAAATACAATTTTGTATCATGTATGAGTGTAAAATTTGTAATTAGTAGATATGAATATAACATTTTTACCAATAACTGTTGTTCTTTTTATTTTACAAGTTTATTCATCAAATAATATCATGTCTAAATCATGCCAGGTAAATGTAACTTAAAACCTTAAATTTTAAAGCAATTTCCCAACTAAGGAAAATAGAGGAAAAAAAAGTTCTTATTAAAATTGTATCCAACATTACTTTTATAAATATCTCAAGGTTTCAGGAAAAAAAAAACTTATCATCCATACTCAAAAAGAGTCATATTTTTAAAATTATACCATATATAGAAAAATACAATTTGGTATATTTTTGATAAGAAATCAATTTTTTCAAAGATCGGTTTCTCATGATAATTTCAGTTTTTTTTTTATGAATTTTTTGTCTGTTTTATTTTCGATGATTTTGAAAAGTACTGGTTATGATTAAATTTTGACCTTCCAAGATATATTTTTCTACCAAAATATTTTTCCTACTCTATATGAAGATGATAAATAAAAAAAAAACACTCAGTCATAATTATAAAATCGATACATTTATCACTCCGTTTAGAATCTAAAAAATATTACAAATAAACGATAGTTGTCTATCATATATAATATATAATATGACTTATATTTAACTAAGTATTTAAATATTTTAACAAAAAACAGATTAAGTATTAAGATACATATTTTTATATTTTTAAAAACTGTGCTTAAATATTTTGAAACATTTTTAGATAATAAGTAGTTATAAATATTTAAAATTTAAAGTTTAGATAAGTGAAGTAGAGTGACACATGGGCATATCTAAAAATTGTGTTCACTATCACAATAACCAATTATCAAAAATTTAAATATTTAAGTAATAGCCATAATAATATATTATAACACTCATTAAAAGCATAGAATATCTTTCTCCCTTTAAAATTGTTTTTATGTATACAATGATGTATTATAATTCATTAAATTACAATTTAAAACGTTCAAGATCAATTAAAGTGACTTACTCAATGACGAGCTGTAGGAGACTTTTATATACAGCAGAGTAAATTTCTCGGTTATTTTTAAAATTGTTTATAACTATGTATAATATGTATGTATAAATAGATTTCATCAGTCATAGAGCTGATATGAAGATTCAGTTTTCTGCCGCTGTTATCGTCGTCTTCGTTTATCGATTCAATCGTTGCCATGGACGACTACTTACACCGTAGTACGGTAGAGAGTGGATTGTCACCGACGGGGTACGACGCGTCGACGCCGATTTGTTGTCGTTACAACCAATTTATATCAAATCATTGGGCAGTTTAGTAAAAACACGCAGTGATGATACATTTTGTGGCCAATCTTTCAGATATTCAATTGTTATATGCAAAATTCCACGATTTACGATTCATATGAATAAAATTATAGCACACACACACACGCACACACACATAATAGTACAATAATCGTTGTCATAGTTAAATATTTTTCATTCAGATATAAGAAAAACAAAATATAAATACTATGGCTATCGATAGGTGTGTGGCTTGAGCAATTGAGCAATAATATATATTTTACTCGTTTTTAAAACTAATCGAATTTAATTTTAAAACATTACTCAACTGATATTTATTAATAATTAATCAACAGATTTAATTTTTACTAAGTTTTATTAATAATCTCTTTAAACAATTTAAATGTTCATACGTTGAAGTCACCAATATAACTTAGTCTTGCCAAAGATAGTTAAATATATAATTTCAAACATATTATCAAAGCTTTTCAAATAAATGGTAACACGCAAATGTGATGCTTTAACGTACTTATATTAAACAACTTTTTTAATTTTTCAATTACTCAATCACTAAATTACTAAATTTTCCGTAACAATGTTAAAATAATAGCATTTTTAAACAACTTTCATATCATGTTATAATATTTAAAAATTCTTAAAACCTTATTTTTTATTAATGTAGATTTGAATTATAGTTATAATTAATTTTAATAAGAAATGTAATTAACAGAAATATATACTTTAAAAATATTTTCATTTCATTTTTAACAAAATGACGAGTTGAAGTTAATTAAAACATTGACCAAACCGCATTTTAAATTCACAACGTTTGGAGTCTTAGGTGAGACTATGAAGTAATTAATTTATATTTAATTATAACAATGTGTTTGTAATGTATAAGTTTAAAAACTGTTATGTTAGAAAAATATTATAGAACTATTTATTTAAACTTTGAGATATCTTGTAGTATGTACTAACATTATAACACTGGAATTAAAAACATATTTAAGAATGAAATAAATTTATTTGACTCAATAAATCAGATTATTTTTAATATTCTTGTATACAGTAAATATTATGTATTGTAATTAATTGTTATATAGAAAATAAACAACTGAAAGAAGATATCTTTGTATTAATCCCCTTCACTCGATTTACCGTTGTATGTAAACACAAGTATCAATTATTGTGTACTGATATATTATAAGGTATAAATGTACAAACTTTAAGTTATGAAAAGATTTATTTTATAATTTCAGGACATCGATTTTACAATACTTAAATTGTAAAATAGAAGTATTACTTAGTATAAAAAAATATTCTGAGTGTTATAGGGTTTTTGAATGTACACAATTTAATATCAAAATCAAATTGTATTATAATTGATAAAATACATATTATAATATTGCATATTATTATTGTTATTAAATCTAATAACTTTACTGAGACACAAACTGGATAAAACACATATACCCATTTTAATATTTAAATAAAAATAAAAACAATAAATAATTATGAAAAGAAAAACATTTACTTACATTTTAAAATATAATGAGAATTAAGAGTCAAAATGTAAAAATTCATTATGATATCAGTTTAGGTATCCCATCAAATATTTTAAGTAAGCACTTAGTTCGATATAATGCTTCAATTCCTAAACCAACACCTTAAATAGGTGTTATACTATTTATTTAATTACCGTTTAATATTATATTTTTTTATTCTATGTTATACTCACATAGTATATGGGAAATTAAACCTTGCAGTCTACACTGAATAATTAATTAAAAAATCAATCTTATGTTGTAGAGTTATAAACTAAGTACCTATGAGATATGAGCTTAGATAAATACCTAACCTAACCTAAAAACCCGGACTTCAGAAATATATAATTTTTTGAAATCACAAAATATAAATAATTAAAAACAGATATTATATAATATTGTATTACCTAATTATGATGTATTAAACTTATTCGTATGATTTTTAATTATTTTAAATAAGTAAAATTACTTATAAAACTTAGGGCAGGTATTAGATATTCAATATTGTTTATTTTATTTTAATGATTTACAATCGAAACATTCTTATTTAACTTATTATAGTAATATTTATTGTTTGATGAAATAGTGAAATTAAATTATAGTTTGTGTGAATTTGTTTCAAATTAACCACGTGAATGACTTACTTATAAGCTATAGTATACTAGTACTTACCCGATAATGTTTAATCATTAATTCAATGTCACTGAAAATATGCAACATTAATTAAATACTTCCTCTGTTGATTCATGTATTTAATTTAATTTTGTAATTTATCTATTAACAGTTCATTAGCTAAATACAAACACAAATTAGTTGAACATATTATAATAATGGTGTAGAATTCAAACAATTATAGCACCCATTATTAATATGTATTATATTATGTATTATTAGTATGTATAGATATTGAATTAATATTTTACTCTTTCAGGTAAATAAATTAGTTCTTAGTTAAACAACATTTTCATATATTTTCATAAATTTAAAATTATTTTTTGTTTCTAATGTTTATATTAAAAAATAATACAATAATAATTGTAATATTTTACCTGAATTTTAATTTCGAAACATTTTTTATCGCATAAATTCTTGAATATAGTGGGTGTTGAATATTGAATGTTAACGAGACCTAATTTATTTCATAATATATACATGTGGCAAGTAAGTGTCTTAGCAGTTTTGTAAGCAAAGCATTAAAGTGTTAAGAAAACGCCAACCCACTACCAAAGTAGAACTTTTTTGATTCAATCACTGGAACATCAAAACAAAAAAAAAAAAAAAAATGTATATATATATTATGCAATGAATAATGACTTGATTTTTTACCTTTTTCAAATCACTATTTTCAGAAAATGACTTAACTTTAGACAACGCTACCCAAAGAATTTTATGCCGTGATTTCTATCGATGTGTGCTTGTGGGAATTCAGAAATTGATAGCTGTCACTAGGGATTAAATGTAGTATAGATATCTAAAACAGTGTATATTTTATATATTTATAAATATGAAATATAAATAAAAGAAAATTGGAAAATATATTGACATGAACTTTTCGTTACTGAATTATGGATTGACTATTTCAAATCACTTTTTATTTATAACTACCTTTTATTCATGCCGATTGACTATACGTATCATCGTATAATTTTTAACTTTCACTTGATATACAACATGATTAATTTATATTTTTTATGTTTTTATATTCAGTTTTTGATTTTCTGATTTTTAATACATCTTGGGATTTATGTGCATGGTTAATTGAATATTTTATTTGGTTTGGTAATATGTATATTTTTTATAATCCGATTTATATAGTTTTTTTGATATGTTTGTTGTTTCCCGTTAATAAAATTAAAAATTCTATAGTATTAAATACTAAATATAACATATTAAAAATATAGGTATATATAAAAAAAAATAAAATAATTTATTGTAATTTAATATTTTGCATAACATAAATTGAGGAGATCAGATATTATATTATTAGGATACTTTAAATATTTTCGAATGATAAAGTATGATCCTGTCCAAAAATATATACACATCACATAATATGGTAAAAATATATAATTGAGAAATACGCCATTTATAACACAATGCACAAACATTACATTTGTTTAGTAAAAATCATAATAATTATTCTTATTATACTTTAAAACATTTGAATAACAATAACAAATGGGTGATGGTAATAAATACACGTGGAAATTGCATATTTAATAAAATTATATGGAAATTGTATCTTTTTTTCATTTGTTTAAAAAGATTACTTTGTAAGGTATCTACAACTTTTTCAATCATGTCCTTAAAGGCAATCATAATAAAATAATTAATAAGTATCAGAAGAAAATCGACTAGATAATATGTTCTAATATGAATAATTTTCACATTTAGATACCTAATTAGTTTTCAAACAAATTTCCGAACCTCTTAAAATATGTACAAGAAATAATTTATTAGTAGTAAGATAGAAAAAATGTATAAAAATGTATTTAGAAGTTTTTTTGTGATGCACACACAACAGAAGATTTTTAATATTTTAAAATATGATTTAATTACTTTACATCAAAAGTTTCTTTGTATAACAACAAAATGTTATTTTCTATTAACTTTTCTATTAACGTGCTTAAATGCTTAAATGTAATGAATACAATAATTAATTTAACTTATCTTTGTCATTAAACTATATTTATTATAAAACCAGTAGAAAATCATACAAATAAATCTTATTGAACAAATTAATACGCAAAAAAAAAAATAATAAATATTTTTATTAACGTTATGAAGTAAATTAGAAGAATAATGATGTTTCAAATTAATGTCCTTGATATATGGCAATAATAATTAGTACCTATACAATTTTATTGATTTGATTAAATATCTTGAGTATTATTCGAATGTTTTACTGTGGTAAACATTAAAAAGAATATTTTGTGTTATTGTTTTAGTAAAAAAATTTAAATATTTAATTTACATTATGTAAAGTAACATTTTTGCCACTGTAAATGGATTGAGACAAAGTATGGAAGCAATTAAATATACATACATTTAGCAAATTCATAATATAATATTTAATACGGCTTTGAAGATTGTTTGCTTTCTTACGCTTTTAGAAGTTTAAATTGGAATCTCAATTATATATTTGATCGTTAAATATATATCAGTACCCCACATTTCAAAATTTTGTAACAGAATATTATATTGCATAGTTTGTTTTATACGCAATAAAGACGTAAAGGCGCTTTGATCATTAGCAAATATCATTTAATATATAGAAAAGCAGATTTTGGGTTTATAAAGATTATAAATGTATAGTTAATAAGTAACAAGTAATAACTAATTTTTAAAACCAATGGAGTCACTTTGATATATATATATATATAGTAAATTTTGAGTGTACCTCTGACATTAAATAGGTCACTGAAATGGATGTATTAAATTTAAATTCGATGATAAATTATTTTAAGTGAAAAAGCGATTCTAAGTGAAAATAGTATGCAAAGAAGCTTCTATTTTAAGGGATTTTTTAAATATAATTAAATTATTAGTTAATTATTTTTTAATATAAATATATTAGACTAATTTTTTTCAAAACAAACTTTATTAAAATTTATAATAATTAATGGTGATGCTGAAGTTTTCTATGGTGAATATTTCTTCGACTTTTAGAATTACAATAAAATAACTAAAAATAGTTAAAATTTGAAACTTAAGCTATCGGTTCTGTTGTTAACTTTTTTTTTTTTTTGGGGGGGGGGGGGGAGAGAGGGGAACTAGGAAATTTTAGAAACACATGCGCCATCTCCTACCTAACCATAATCGTTGAAATAAAAATAGTATCAAGCTAAAATCGCTCCTCACATAAACAAAAAAATTAAAAATTGAAACGCTTATAACAAAAAAAAAGTAACTGTCTTTTTGATATTTTTTAACTGCTGCAAAAAAAAAACTTAAAAGAAACTTAGCATTAAATTTTCAAAATGTTCACTTAAAAATAAATATTTTATCATGTATAAATAACTTCTAACTTGTGTTGTGACTGGCGACTGCCGTATATAATCGGAACACCACTACTCGCCCGTAGAGCGATTCGCTTACCAGACTTATTTTATTATAAAAGTAATAATATAATCTATACTAATTAGACATCATTAGGCCAGTGTTATTTCATTACATGTTAATTGATATTTAATAGTTTTTGCAAATAAAATTTTTAAACTTTATGTGCATTGTGCACATAACTTTTTATCAAAAAAATATTAACGATATAGAGAATGTTTTTTTTACTTATTGCTTTAAAATATTGAATGGTTAACACTGCGTTAAAAATTTAATTTGATAAAATATTTGAAATATTATTAAATATAATTATAAAAACATAATCATGTTAAAACTTAAATAAAATAAAGAATTACTTATCATATTTTAAAGAATTTATTCCAGATAAATTCAAATTATTATTGATAATATTACGCACTTGTGTGAAAAGATATTATACGTTATACTAATATATTATTAGTGGACACTTGTATAAAATAAATAATAATGTTATTGCGAATGATTTTATACTAAATTTTCAATTAAATCAATAATAATGAACTTTCTTATGGTGTTTTTTTTCTTTATTGATTCAAAAAGTATATTTAATCGTAGAAATTTCAGATATTCTATTGTTACTTAATTTATGATTTTCTATCTATACTATATGACATATTTTTAAATATTTAGATTGAATTCACGGTATTTATAGATAATTTAAAATTTAAAATTATTTTAGTTATTTATACTTAAGTATTTATACGAAAATTATTTACGTTCAATCAAAAATGAATAAAATCTTAAACATAAGAACATTTAATGAAAAATCCCACATAAATTTTTTTTTTACTACAATTGAAATATATTAAAAATCCATATGTATGATTAATTTTATATGCAAAAATAAAATAATAAGTGTTTTTAAACAAATTTTTAAAATTTAAATGTCAAGATATTCCTAATATCATGAAAATTGGAAATTAATTATAGCTTAGGTTTAAATATTTAATACAATTATAGGCTTCTCATTAGTATTTTTAACTAAAATTGAAAATTCTTGGTAACAATATATAAGCCAATATTATATTTAATAGACATTTAAACTTTGAAGTTTAAACGTGTGAATAAAACTAATAATAATTTTGGATAGCCCTATAAGTAAAAAAATAAAATATTAGATTATTTTATTGAATTGTTGTGTACATGTATATTATATTATATAAGAGTAATAATAAAATTATCTGATATTACAGATTGTTTGAATCATAGTGCATTTGTTTCCTATATCCTTAAGCATCGTTCGTTATTTGCTTCCATTTTTCAATATAATTTTATGGACAACATTTTAATAATATGTGTCTCTATTTTAATTTTTTTTTCAATTACGTACATATCTGGTAAAAATATATAGTTTTATTTTATTTATTGTTAATTTTTATAGCAAGAGATCGGTACACAAAATTATATTTCTATTTTTCGCCGACTTATTATTTATTATTATTATTATTTTTTTTTTGATGAAAAAATAAATGTGCGTCATATTATTTTGGAATCAACGGTATTTATCTTTTTCCTTTTTCCTTTTAATAACCTCTTTATAACAATATTATGGTCCATATAAAAGATTGTAGTATCGTATTTTCTAAGCACCAGACTCAAACTCCCCCAATCTAGTTTTAGACTAACCTAAATATATTTTCACATCTCTTGTCAACATTATCCTCACTTGGGAAAATCTTTGTTGTTTACATATTTTGATAGGTGGTGGCGCCGAGTTATCGATTGAGTAAATATTTTGTGTAGCACAGGCTAACCATTTTGACAAAGGGTCGTGTTTAAAAATAATTTCTACGAAAATAACATAACGTTACTTATCTTTCTACCGTGCCATACATTTTTAATTTTCCATGTCCATTATACGTTACTCATTTTTCAAACTTTTTTTGTTATACCTAATACACCAGATTTATTTTCATTTTAAATGAGATGGTATACTATAGTAATCAATCTTGTATTTATTATTAAATCATATTTTATTTAAACAATGTTTCTGTTGAATATTATTATTTATTTATAATGGAATTAGTAATATTCCATTAATTTTTTTAAACATAAAATTTAAATTACAAACATGTAAAATAATCAATCTTACAATATTGAATTTTATGTTTATACCGTTTAAAAGAAATCATTACAAAGAATATATTTATTGTTTTAAAACAAATATAGAATGACAATAATTAATTTCAAAACTACAATATCATAATTAAAAATGAAAAAAAATATCTATAAGCTATAATAAATATTAAATACAATATTTATTATAGAATATTATCATCTAACAATTTAAAAATCTTATTAATATTGTTGTTAAATCGTAATTTATAAAATAAATATAAAGTATGAAATAATAATTTCAAAAAAATTATGATTTTGTTTAATTTTATTTTATTTGTTAAGTTACTCTCCAAAACAGCCACTGATTGGGAATGATGTTTTAGCTAACTTGCTTATGTACTCGTAATTCAATAATAAATAAATATATTTATAAAATAAAATATTAAAAAATAACCTTATTACCGGTACAAAGTAAATGTATTGATTATTGTCATTATTTAGGTATAGAAAATATCAGTCACTGATATTATACATATATTATACTAACATTAGAAAATAATATTACATCCCTCATTTGTTTTTAAATTAAGAAATATTATTTTAGATTATTAATTTTAACTTTAATATTTTTAATGTAAAATGGAAGAAATTTCAACCTAACCCATATTTTAAAAGTTTATTATTTAAAAACCTAAATAATTCGAATGGCTTTGATTGACATAACAAACATATTATTTACCATAAAAAAATTAATTATTATTCCTCAAATTCTCGAAATAAACCGATAAAAGTGATATTATTAGGGAAAATGTATTTACATTACTTAACATAATATTATTGTATAATTTATGAATATTTTTTCAGTTGATTAAAAAAAATACACACTGGAACGCATTATGGTGGGTAACAGTTATTATTTTAATATAAAATGATTCTGTGTATGATTTAGTTCTGTATTAAAAATAACAATAATCTACCAATATGATTGACTGTCATTTAAAGTTTACGTAGTATTATTCAATCACAAATTGTTTTTTATGGATTGTTATCCATCGCCATTAAACTTGTGTTTATTTAAAATTTTATTTTCACTGGGGTTTAAACCTGTGCGACTGAATCAATCACAGTAATCAAATTTCGCCTGATATCTAATACCATATAGTGGTTTTGGATTTTAGTACCAATACTTATACAACTCTCAAAACCTATAAGAACATTTAGATTTCCTTTTTAATTTTCATATATGTATAGTATTTAAAATGTTAAATAAACTTGTATTAATTTATCGCCTTTCAATGTTCAATTATACCTTAAATATAAATATAATATTTGTTGTTAAGTACATACACTTTACTTCTATATTTGTCTATTGAATTATTACATGTTATATGACATTAATATTTTGTCCAAAATCTTGATAAAACAACGGTTATATTTTGTTAGTTTGGCTAAAGCGTTACAATTATAATAGACACAGACATGAGACAAATCAAGTATGGATAATAATTTAAAAGAAAGCATTAGTGCCGAAATTTAATTCGATTATCTCAAGCTATATTATAAACAAAAAAAATAAAAAAAAAAAATAAATAAAAGCTCATTTAGGTTAACTTAAAATTATATACATGAACCTTTCATTCAGTGCCATATATTTGAGGGAAGAGGCTGATGTGTGAACGAACCTCTATTGGATCTTAAACTAAGATATATATATGTATTCCAGCTACAATAATACAAATAATTTGCTTTATGAACCTATTTTATATAATATTTTGATTTTAAATACCAATATATCATTAACTCTTTTTCATTATTGAGTATAAATGTGTGATGTTGGGTAGTAAAATACGCAATCAAATAGTGACGAGAATTCCAGATCATAAAGTTATACATTAATATAAATCGTGTCAATAGACTTTTATTAGGGTTGATTTTCAATTCATTATAATTTGGCAGTTTCTTCAATTTTTAATTTACTGCCTACTCTTATAAAAATATAAAAACTTGAAATGAAAATATCAGAAGTCATAAAATTGTTAAAACTCTTTAGGATGTGTCTGGTATACTCGTATTGTTAATTTGTATATTCTTTTTTCTTTTTTATCAAATTAAATTTAAGTTAATGTTTGATCTTGAGGAATAAAATAAGCAAACATTACTGCTCATAAAAAAAAATGTACCCTCCAATCTTTTATTTTCATGATATGAGCAAATTTTATAAATTAATTAATGTTTAGGAGCTTAATATATACTATGTACCTACGATCTGTGAAAATACAGCTTGATATTGGTTACGTTCTAACACATATTAACATTGGTCTACGTGGTAAATGGAATTCGATTTATTTTCAAGCCTACTATCAAGTGTTTAATTAAAAATATAATATGTCTTTCCAAAAATAAATTATATTTTATTAGATATACTTTAATCGATTATTTGTTTAGAAAATCAATCTATAAAGATTAGATGCCGAATATTATGATTTTATTTTATTTTGTGTATAACAAATGAAAAATCTTAAAAATTACAACAAACGTTCTTTGCTATGTATAATATTTAATTTTTTCTCATAAAAATATTTTTATGTCAAGAGGGTACTATTATATTAATATATTATTTTACATTATTATTACCCAAATCTTACTATACTTTAACAATAAGAATTAAAATTATTTAATGACATGTGTGAATTTTACATAAATTTAAAAATAGTTCATAAAAACTTAAGTCTGATAATAATTGTATTTAATTCGATTATTTATCACAGTGTTCAAACGTATAGATAGCTTATATTATTTTGTTAATAAATATCAAACTATTTTGTAGGTACTGATGGTGAAAGGAACACTATAGTTCCTAATGTCAAATCAGGGCTGAAGGGAGGATGGGAAGTATCAACGTTAATCAAATATATACAAACATTTTATTTTTAAATTTTTTTTTTTTTAATCAATACAAGTTAGTATCAAGGTAATAACTACTTAGTTTAAGTGTTATTAAAATAAATTTAATGAGAAATTATGGTATGTATTACAAAATATTATTTTATAGGTATAATGTGGACGAAGCGAGTGCACAACATTCAGTCTCTATATCCTATTCAATTTTATATTTCATACTATTGTCGTGAAAAATTCTTTCAAAAAATAAAATTAATCAAAGGTTTGTATGCGTTAAATTATATATTTTAGCTTACGTTTGTCAAGTTATACTTGAGATACTTTATTCTATTATTCAAATTGTTTGTAAGCAACTAGATATTTAAATTACTTATAAATAGTATAATTATGTATACACTAATGTTACTTTTTTTCATTTAAATTACTTATTTGTAAGTTTCATAATTTTTAAATTGTTAAATTAAACTTTTTGTATTAAAACGAATAGCTAATATTTTATATAACTACTTAATAAATGGTAATATAAGATACTGTTAAAACATATAATGTTATGTATATATATAACATAGTTGAGTAATTATTTTAAACCATATTATTAGTTAGGTTGTTGATTGAATGCAGTATAAAATATTTTTTTTTGTATTTACAGATTATAAAAAATATACGAGTATGTTATATTGGATTTATATACTAGTCGAGCAGATATTTTCTCAAGTGGAAAAGCTAAAAGTTACTTTTTTCACGAACAACGATTCAACTACACTAACTACAGAAAATCGACGAGGAACAAACACAGACTGTTGATGCGCCAACAAAAATTTAAAGTCTTTTTAGGTCATTAAATATTTGTTTTCTTAACTGACTGCAATAATATACCTAATAATAAATCTAGTTTTTTAATTAAACACAAAAGTGATGTTATACATACGTGTCTAACTTACTCTCTATTTATTTTAAAATGTCAACATTAAAGAACATCATACTTTGCTTTTATTTTATACTTTAATCGAGATAAAGTTTTCACGTTATTGTATAAGATATTAATAATGTGTACAGGTATTTTAACTGGTATTTTAAAACAATACAATTTTAAACGAGGAAAAGTGTAAATACCTAAATTAAAAATGTTCGTCAAAAGAATTTAGTATAAAATAAACTTATTTCCTTGAAATTAGTAGGCATTTAAGAAAATAACTAATAATAAACAATGTACTATTTTATTATTAATCTTATCAGCTAGATTGGTTTATTAGACATTTATGATTTTAATCAAAGATTATTATATCTTAAAAGCATGGTACTAAATTCTCAGGACCGATATTTCGGAGATTAAGAAGTAGATTGATTTTTAGTATACATTTTTTATGATTAATATGATGAATAAGTTTGTTTTAATTCGATAATAATTAACTATACTGGAAATATCTTACAATACTAATATTTGATATTTAAAACTTACACAGTTCATTTTTGATTCATTAAATGATTATATTCCCTATAATACTTTTTAAATTGGTAGATAATGTTTTAACTTAATTTCATACTCAGGATATTTTCATGAAACTATTTAAACAACAAATTCAATAAAAAATAGCAATATTAGTGTTAATATTGAGTGTAATATTTAATATACTTAAACATTTATGTGGTGAAAAAATGCTCCGAATTTCAATTTTAAGAGTGGTCTTTGTTAGCGAATTTTTCAAAATTAATATTGTGTATGTAATATAATTTAGAAATCAATAACTGTAGATGTTAGAGTTTTCTATACATAAAAATATTTATCACAATAATTTTTCTCTGTTTAACCTATATAGAATTATTTATTATTAAAGATTTTTTTTTTTTTATTAGTCTCGAAGAAAATGTTGAATTAGTCAAAAACTTAAATAATTTAATATAATATTCATTTTAAGCTTATTATAGACCAATTAAAATGTATAAATAAAATAGTTTTTATAAGCATTTAATGTTAAATTTTGACAAAATTCGTCAAAATTATAAAAATTTGTTGACAAAAATTCCTAAAATCTTTCACGTTTTTACATAATGTTTGAACCTTTAAAATAAAGTTTCTTGTTAATTACTATTAATAGTTTTTTTAAAAATCAAATTTTTTAAGTATAAATCCACAAATATTTTTTATAAGCATCTGAAGTTTAAATTTTGAATAGGATATTTACGCGTAATTTAACGATTTCTCATTAATTAATTTTTTGGTTCTATTTAATTTAAAACGAATAATCGTGGATAATTTAAAATGTCACCAAATGTTTAATGTTTAAATTATAATATCTAAAATTTCTGGTATAATTTTTCAAAATATTTTGATTATTATTGTCCTATTTATAGATATTTTATATTTTGAATATTTTTTCCATAAATAAATAAATAAATAACTGTTCAAAAAATGTAATACAAAGTTTTGATTGTAGTTATTTAGGAAAATAAAGATAAATGCTCATTACTTTTTTTTTATAAGCATTTGAAGTTAAAATATTTTCATAAATAGTCAAAATCGTAAAAGTTTGAAAATTATTTTGTATTATTTATATATTTTATATTAAATGTATTAAATGTTCAATTTTTATGCTTAACGCTTTACCATTTAATTCAAGATTGCTGGTTAGTAGTTTACTCTAGAAAAAAAAAATCTAAAAAATATATAAGCACAATATTTTTTAAAGTCATTCGATGCTCAAAATTGAATAAAATTACATAACTTACAAATATACCTATAACCATTTTCATTATATTGAATTTAAAAATTATATTGAATTTATTTTTTCAATTTAAAAATATTGTACACGAGGACTTAAAACTTTTACGTATATTATGAATTTTATTTTATGTTATGATAGTTTCAAAATATGTCAATTAATTTTAAGATACGAGTGTTTATAAATAAATTATTCCATAATTTTTACGAAAGTGACTCAAAAGTTAATAACAATTATATGATATAATATAAATTATATTTATTATTATATTAAAAATTAAATATTTATAATATAATAAAAGCTAGGTATATATTTCATAAAAATTGAATCAACTTACTGTAATACTAATAATAGGTACAATGTACAATAAATTACTGTAATTGTAATATCCAAATACATTAATTGAAATGATCTTCGTAATATACTCTGATAGACTGACTATGCTTAGAATCGCTTTTCGTGTGCAAATATATATTATTGAATTCAAATTTTACTCCTTCATTTACCTTCTTAATATCTAACGATTAATGTTAAAAATTATAAATATATTATATATTTTTGATGTAATGTTGACAATTTATTATTAACCTATCTCGATTTCAAAATGATAGGTACAATTTAGTGATCTAATATAATAGTTATTTAATTTTTAGTTAATATTTACATAAAATTATATGAAATACATACATCTTGAATTATATTTTATTTGTACAAACTACAACCTTTTACATTTTTATTTTGTTACTGAAATAATTCGTTTATTTTTTTTCCTAAATTCTTGGTATCTAAATCAGTGATTTACAACTGTTGACTAATATACTATATATATTTTAATTATTTAATAATATACATTAAATATATAAACCTAGTGTTATAATAAGTGGTATTCGTCCATTTTTTTTAAATAGTATAAAAATTAAGCACACCTGAAAATTTTTTAAACGTGTATGAAAGAATCTATACTGATGTTTTATATTGTGTTTAATATATTATAACGTGACTCAAATCATCATATTAAATTTCTAGAAATTTCCATTTTTTTTTTTTTTTTTTTTTTTTTATTAATTACTATATATTTATATGAATATATTATTTGTGACGATTCTTATTTTTCATAGATATTAATATTTCCTATTTTTATTTCTGTGCCAAATATTTCGGTATTATATCAAATATATTATTTAAAGCGTTAGAAAATTAATTACAGATAGAGTTTTATTTAGTATTTAAGACCGATAATAATTTATTGATATACGAGTATCTTCAGTATCTAAGTTTAATAATCGTATTTGAATTCATAACCAATGGTTTATATATTAATTATATCTAATAGAACAGAGAATGATAAATGATTTACACATTACTTATGCTAGAAAAAATACATTTTAGTGTCAACTGTATTTTCTATTTCATTAAATTGGGTTAGGAAAACTTGTCGAAGAAACAAAGTATAAATTGTGTTATAAGCATTTATATTATAATAATATTCTTTTTCTGTTTTCCGTTTCCATCCATATTGTTTAATTACATATCAATCGAAACCTATATGATTATATAACACTACTAAAATGTACAAATTATAATAAATACGAATCGTGAACGAATTAAGTGATTTAAAGAAAATAAAAGTGGCATCACTTGACGTATGTAGGTTATGAAATTTGGAAGTTTACTTTTGAAAAAGCTATGTTTAATTTCGTGATAATATTAAATACACAAAGTAATCATAATATGCATTAAATATTAATGATTATTACAATATAATATTATGTTTACTCAGGTAAAATTCACAAGTAATTTTAATTCGGATAAGTGGAAATAATCATAGCGGCAAGAGTCCAAAAAACATGAGAGAAAATCGAACGAAGTGAATTATAAAAACGGTAGACTAGTAAAGTTATGTTATTACTTATTTTATAATTTTAACTTTATAATAATCTTCCTAGGGAATTTTCAACGAATTTTAAAAATAATTATCGCCAAAAAAAAAAAAAAATAAATAAAATTAATATTATTTTAATTTTGGTTTTAAATTAATATAAGTATTAATTAATTTTCTAGGTATTACATGCAGAGACAATGGTATCTATAAGGGTATTTAACTATCGGTAAATGCCTATTAAGACAAGAAAATATCGATTCAAATTTCGAACCATTAATATTATTATTTTTGTGTACTTACGTCAGAATATGTACCATATTGTGTTATTGAGTTTATCGTTCTCCACGCTAAACAAGCACCAAGTTTACTATGCCAAATAAGTCGTCGTAATTGGATCTTCTTCACAATTGTGTGAGTGTATTGGTAGATAAATATTATGATCAAAATGCAAGTTAAGTTAAATTAAAAGTTGACCACTTTAAATGGTATTGGATTTCACATAATGTTTAATATATTATTTTTTTTTCTATGTATATCTGTGCATTTCTTTTTTATTACATTGTATAATTATGTATTAATGTTTATTTAAGTTAATGTTTGGCTAGTTTTTATCGCGTTTAAATTTATAGTCTAATTTCTAGTACTAAGTATAGAAATATTTACCTGCTTGTACAACGAATTTTACCATCGTTCGTCGTTTATTCTCGTTTCATATTACATTTATAACATGAAAAATTATAACAAATAAAATATATCATCGTAGGATATATCTCAGTTGACTACCTCGATAAAAGCAACTTACAAGTCCAAATCAAACGTAGTATCTTAATTATTATTATTCACAATTTGGCGACGTTTTTATGATACGCTGCACACCGCGTCTGGTAAATATAAAATAATAATGACCTATACATAAATACTATAGATATGGTTTTTGGACCATGAATGTTTTTCGTTTTGTGTACCGTGTGCTCACGTATACGTTTAACATTCACCTTGATCCCGTCGTCCACTGTAGCAGGCTCAGAAAAAAGATCGACGGAAAATCTCGGGGAACCGTAATTAGTGTGCTATGTCCACGAGTTATTACACTTTTTTCAGAGTTTATAAAATACAATATTATTTAATATTGAATGTTTTTTTAAGTGTAGTAGGTAACAATTATTTGTAATAAATTATCGTAGAATTTAATATTCTGAAAATAAAAAAATAAAACCAGTAACAATATTTTACTGTAATGATTATGAATTTATCAATATTATCGTTAGTTGTATTTTCTACGCATACTACATAATATGCTATAATATTTTTATACGTTTCGTAAACCATTAATAATTCTGACAAATCTTAAAACTTTATACACGATTAACCTAATAATAATAATATATTGATTACCTATGCGTAAATAATATCCATAGTATTTAATATTTAGTACGATTATTATATCTTTTGCCAATAATATTACACAAGACTCATTTATTTTTAAAATTGATTAATATATTGTGGAAACGACAGTAATATAATAAAATTAACTTAAAAAATTATGTCAAGTATATAATATAATAATAATAATAATAATAATAATAATAATGTCAACACTAATAATTTTCAAAGTTTAAATAAAAAAATAAAAATAAAAATAACAACAATAATAATAATACTATATAATATAATATATAAACAATATTATAAGCTATATAATAATATAATAAACGTTCATTTAAATAGGGATGTTCAAAATTAAATCGTATATTTTAAGTTTTTGACTTCTTTTACGTGGTATAATTTTTTAATCAAAATAATATGTTTCGAAATATCAGAAAAATTTAAATGTTATCTAAATTAACATTTTTGTGCAAATATTTTTAAAATAATTTGAGATTAATAATATAATATATTATAGGTACCTACAAGTATTGACTTTTGAATAACATTTTATTATTAGTTTTGCTTTTAACCGATCTACATATTTTGAGAATTAATTTCCGTGAAATAAATTTTTAATAGTATATTATATTTCTAAAAATCCCTGAGATAAATTTGTAAATAAATAAATTTGGAAACAAACATAATAACTCATGATAAATAAATTATATAATCTTATGTAATTATTTGAATATTAGCAGTTTTGCTATTTTTATGATAAATATTTGAATGCATTATTTTTTAACTAGAAAGCTACATATAATTATGTTTATAATTTAAAAGTAATTATGTGCATACAAATTGTATAGATTTATGTAAATAATGAGTATGGTATATAATAAGAATGGGATTATAATATCGCATAGTTTATATAATATATAATAAGAATATCGAAGTGTATAAATATCATAATATTATTAAAGCATAAGCAAGAATCAGTAGGTATACAACGCAATTATAGTAGCTAAGATGAAGAATGTAATGATCTGATCGCTAATAAGTCAAATACCTCTTATAAGTCTGGTGGTGGTTGCATGGAAAATAAATCGTCTTCTTCATTAATCCATCTGAACGAACCTCCTCTGATCTGGTCGCCTCTGAGTAAGCCTGTAAAAAAATATACAATATTAATGGACATTGAGTCACGCGATTATCAAAGTGTTACGCCGTCAGCATAAATAAATTGTCCATTCTTACATGTGAAATAAAAGTGATCGGTCCGGATCGTAACTACTCCCGTTATCTTGTTGAGATGAATGTATCTCAGTGACGGAAAGTTCGGTATCGTATATGTCAATGAATAATTTGTTTCTCGGGCCAAACGAATTTGGTAAATGTTCGTCGACATAATTACTGTAGAAGACGTGAAAGTAAAAGGGAAAACAAATTGCGACAAGTAAAAATATGAAAAAAAAAAAGCCAAATAACACTCGTGTGGTCTCTATTTTGACGGTTAGGGTCACTTGTGATGAGATATTTTATAGTATTTAAAATTGTGCTATTATGATTATACGTGTATTATAATATTTTCGTGTAGTTAGTTTTATACGTTTATTTTATTTTTTTCGAGATGAACGTAACAAGTCGAATGTCAATGGCTCGTGGTGGGCGACTGGACTTTGCGGCAGCGGCTTAGGAAGCGTTGGTGGCGTTGTTGTCCTTGGATGCGTCAGCTGCTGCGGTGGGGTGGTCCTGTGCTACCTGTTGGTCCTCCTGTGTCCCAATGTCGCTTTGCCAGATGCAGTATACGTAATGCATGAAAGCCACGACGTAAAATACTAATTCAATCATTTGGGACTGAATTTGCTAGATGTCACTACGTCAACTGTAGATCACGTCTCCCAGAGTAATGACTGTCGACAAACGCTGCAGATCAGAGCACACGGACGAGTGTCGACCTTGTACCGTAGTCGAGGGTTTCCGGCGTCGGACCAACCACAACTGTTGTGGGTGTGTCTTAGCCTCGGAGCACACCGTTCTCCCACATCCAGCCGGGGGACCCACTTCAACCCCCTTCGCTCTCCGAGCCGGGACAACCGAGCTACCTATAAGAGACGTGCGTTTAAAACAACAAGAGAACACACGGACGCTGCGCCGTCGTCGCGGCATTTGGCCTAATACGCATACGCGTGAGCTGTGTTCCAAAATCTAAAAATATCACTACCTCGAGGCAGTGGTGGTGGTGTGTTTTGGAGGTGGCAGTGGAGGTGGCGGCGGCCAGTATAGATGTGAATCTGATGACGTACGCGGGGAGAGTTCAATCTTCGACTAACGCCGCCGCCGCCGCTGCTTCTGACACGGCGACGACAACCACGACGCACATATGATGATGTATACATTTAGGAAATTGAGTGTCGGTCAAGAGAATTTTTTTTATATTAACATCATGTATGTTGACGACGACTGTTATTATATATAGATTTATATATTTTTTTCTTTCATATTATATGATATAATATTATCATGACATATGTGTGCTGTGCACACACGCTGCAGACCCGAACCAACACTAACATATAATATCTTACCGAATCGGTTATTCGCCTTTCCCCGTTCTACTTTCACTCGACTACGCCACCGTGTTTAATCCCTGTTTATGCATCTGTGTGATTGCGTGCGGTGTTCGTATATTCCGCATATACGTGTATAATGTTATATGTTTATGTGTGTGCGCATTTGTAATCTGAAAACAAACTATTATGTAGTGTTTTTATTTCGTCAGATTTTTTTTTTTTTGCAGAAAACTCCTATGAACCTAAAACGAACGGTTTTCCGTTATTATAATATGTACACACGCACGGTATTATATTTTTTATTTTTTTTACCGGATCCCAAATCGAAAATTCTCACAGCGTTCTTTTTTACTCGATTTTCATCATTTGTCCTTCAAACATAATATTCACTATACCTAACGTATTTTATTTGTGCTTTATATTAGTACATTTTTGAAAATGTATTTTTCATCGATTCAGAAAAAGACATGAAAATGTCACTCGGAATTATATCACCCTTAAGCAAAATATTATTCATTAAGTCGACTATTATTAAAGTACCAAACATATACTGGATGTGGATTTAAAAATTATATTAACATGCGTATATATTTATTTGCAAAGTGTTAGAGAGATAAATATTTTGATGGATCATTAAGATAAATGCATGGCGAAATAGATGGTTTAAATAACTAACTAAAAATTTAGTATATTTAAGTTATACCTACCGTAATTATTGAACATATTAGAAATATAAAAGTTTATAAATTATGCCTAAACAATAGAAAAATGTTGTAATCATAATTTATTTGTACTAATAAGTTCTATATAGTCAGTATATTCAATATTTTTTTATCGTCAGGATTAACGATTTAGTATACTTATGTGGTAGTTGCATTGTAATAATATGATTTTAGAGTAATTATATACCTAAGAAAATTTATTTAATTATAAAAAAAATATGAGTAAAAGTTAATTGGTAAAATTGAAAATGATAATAAAATATGATTTATTTTGAAATATTTAATAAAATTGATATTTTTAAAATCAAATGTTGTAAATTTTTACTAATACAAAAATTAACAAATAAATATTTGAATGAAAACGTTATAATAACATTATGATTATAACATTATATTTTGTACAATAAAACGATTGAGATTTGTAACGTAATTATAACGGAAAAAGATAAATATAAATAGTTAAATAACACAAAACAAAACATAACGATTAAAAAAATATATGATATATCATAAAGCAAAACGTTTAATATAGTAAATCATTAAATGAAATAATTAATTTCCAATTATTTAATAGTTATAATTTATAAAATATATTAAAAATTTTAATTCTGAATAACGATAAACTCAAAATTTGTATAATGTTTTAATTGTAAATAACGTAAAACAATTTTTTTTTTTTTAAATACAAGCCTTGAACTGATTAAACTCGAGTATAATTTTAATGAAAATGTTAGATTTACTTGAATTTTATTATTTAGATTAAAAATCAATAAATCAGTGGGCATTTCAATTATTTGTATTGACTGTGATTTTTTTATATGTAGTAAATAATTAGCCATTTATTACTTGCTTTTAAATGTTTAAAAATATTTAATTTAACCCAAGTAAAGAATATTTATTTAAAGGAAAATGTAAATGAAAAGTTATAATATTAAGTACTAAAAGCAAAGCACATTTAATATTTTAAAACTATAATAATATTTTGATCAACTAAATAAGAACTTATCAATATGTTGCATATATATTACGCCATATTACATTTAATGAGCTTCTTAGAAGAAATTCATAAATTTGAAGGTTTGTTTCTTCACGTATCTAAATGCGGTATATATGAAGTGTATTATTATTATATTGTAAAAATAAGCTTGTACATTTAACTAGCTATAAATTTATTCAAAAATAATTCTAAATGAAACTAGATTTTCCAAAATATAACATGATATTGTGTGCATACAAATTAAATAGTTCACTTACTTTAAAATGATTTCAATAACTCATTATTATCTTAATTTTCTATAATTTTAATAAAGTGAAACTTTTATACAACGAACTTCCACTTTACAATATTTTGTGTACGATATAACAAATTAACTATTCGTAAATTCGTACATTCAGATTATTTTGTTTTTTTTTTCTATACATACCAAAAAAATATTGAAACGTAAGTATTTATCAATTCTTGATAAATTTTAAATTTTAAATGAAGTCGATAAAGATGTTAAAAAAAGATATTTCTGAAAAATATAATTTTCCGACAAGTTCCCTTTCAACCAAATTGAAAAATCGTTAACACATAATGAAGTAAAGGCTAGAATCTTTCTTTGTTTGCAATAAAAAAACGAAATGAAGTATATGTCTATGAAGAAGTTAACAAAAATTCTAATGAAATTGAAATATTTTGCAATAAAAAGTACAATTTATAAAATCAATAAGCAAATGAAACTCACTGATAAGTTATTTTGAATTAAGATTAAAAAATAATAATATGATTTTTGGTGTATATTTTTAATACTCTATAGAATATAAAATACGTAATTATGTAAGTATTAAAAATATGTAATTCTATTTAACAAATTTCTCTATATTACGATTTTATTTATATTCCCCACGAGACTTTGTTACCTAGAAATTTCGTTATATAACTATTGCTATCTATATTGTTAAGTTTATTTTATGAGTTTTGTATACAACTACCTAAAAATATTTTGATTTTAAAAGTTGACGATGTACTGAACTTTTGGAACTTTTATTTCGCCCTTAATAATAACTTAAATATTAAACTTATGTATGTGTAATTTTTATCTCTAAATAAATATACAACAACTATGCATTTATTATTAAAATATCTCATCATAAGAGTTAATACCAAAACACGTAATTGATTTAAATTATGAACTTATAATACAGAGATATTTTTTTGCTATTTTAATAAAGTATACCTAAATATAGTTATGTTATATATTAGTTTTTCTGAATATTTATTTCAATTGAAATTAGCTAAAGTTAATTAAAAATAAATAATTATAGTAAAAAAAAAAAAAATTGTAGCATATTTTTAATACATTTATGTAAAAGTACTGTTAAATAAATTTTGACCAGTATCCCAATAATATTTTAATAATTTGATACTTTTATTATACCATTCTAAAATAGGTAAAATTATTTTAAAAATCAACTAAATATTATTAATATAGATTTTTATTTTAAAATCGCTTACAGCCAAAAATTGAAAACTATATAATATTGCTCTTATTTTTAAACTTTACAAAAAATGTTTAATTTTATTACACATTTATTGATAAATGTTTTAGTACTTTAAAATCTACTTTATAAAGATGCCATATTATTCACGGTGACGCAACTACACTAATATATTTATAATACTTATTTTATGTATTAAAAATAAGTAACTTTTATGGCTTTAAGTAATTTATAAAATACAATTAACCATAATTTATTAAGTCAACCCTGGTGAAATAAACTGATTTTTTTTAGAATACAGATTATATCAACATTAAATTCTATATGATAAATTTGTTTTTTCCTTCAATTATTGATTTTTAAAAAAGTATTTAAGCTATTAGATATACTTAACTATCACATACATATTACAAATAAGGGTACAATTTTGGAATGTATAAACGTATCTTTTCACTGTTTTGTGAGTTAATAGGAAAATTAAACGATTGTCTCTGTCGAAATTGTATTAAATTAATTATTAAACTAATATAGAATTGTTTTTTAACAATTCACTTATTTTAATATAAGTAAAACTATACAAATAAATATATATATATATTTAAAGCAATAATTATATTCTCATCAATCTCTTTTGAATGAGTTTTTTCTTTTTTACTAAGAAATTTACTGATTTTTAAAATGTTTTGTATTTGTGAAAGTTAACTCTAATCCCGTTTGACGTTTTTATGCATATTAAAATATTATATTTGATTTAATACGACACTGTGATGTATGGTATTAATAGTTTATTAAGAAAAAATTTTAAACAAATATTTCATATTATGTCTATATCATTAAAACATAATACTAAAATAATATTTAACTACGTACTTTAATAACATAAACAATTCAATATGGCATACGGCTCATGTATGGCTTTTAAGTACAAATTATATTTGTTGAATAAATATAACGTCACTTAATGTTTATATTATAAAATAAAATGTATAGTTATCAATTAAAATTAAATTTTTCTCTAAATTTCAATAGTTCTGCTTAGTATTCGCTTTGGTCTTTAGTCATATCAGACGATATATATAGTATATTGTTTGTCTCTCTCTAAGTAACGTAATATGTTATACAGAAATACCTATAAGTTATTTGGCTTATTAAAAAATATAAAAATACGAAAACGTAATTTTTTCATTTTTATATGTATTGAAATAACAGTTAAGATTATAAAATATAAGTTACTCAGTTTGTTAATACGTTTATTTGATGAACGCGATGTGTTGGAATACAAAAAAAAATTTAGTAATGATACAAGTTTTAGAATTATTGCTTATGTCTTAATTCGTTCGAAATATCATCTGAATATTCAATTACAAAATAATATACGCATATACGAATAATCAACTTTAAATGTAAGAGGTTTAATATTCTATATTCATCTTGATCTCTGCACTCTTTTCTTTCTAGCTGGTCAAAAACTCAAAATATTTATTTATAATTTTTTTTTAAATAGTACTTCCATAATTGATTGTACGCCACGTGATAAGTTAAATTCTGGATCTCAAATAAATAGCTCAATTCATTTCAGAGAATGAAAATCCAAAATTTTTTCTACCTTATTCTAATTTATCAGTTTCACCGAAATAAAATAAAATTAATGACCACGTGACATAGAATTCATTTGAATTTAACTTTGTATAAGTAAATTGTGTATTGATAAGATACAATTTTGTCTTTTCATCTTAGTGGTTCAATATACAACATCAATTTCAAATTTCAAATAATCCGATCTAGTGCATCACACGACAATTTTTGTAAACTTTTTCTGTGAGGTCAAGTATCTATTTGTTAATTTAGGACATGGCTAATTAATTTAATATCATATACTTTTATAAAATTTAGTTTTTTAGCTAGGAAATCAACTTGAAGGATTTAAAAAAAAAAAAATGAAAAACTAGATAACTACTTTACTGTACAGAATGAGACGAGTATACTTCTTCATTGAGTTATCTTTGCACCGATGTGACGTGCATATAAACAGTGTAACTGTACAATTTCAGTTGTAAAATGTTATACGAGGAGCAATAAAAAAGTAAGTTGCGTTTTTCTACAAGTCAAAAAATTATATAATTTTAGAAAAGAAAAAATATTATTAAAAAGTACACATAATATTCTATTTTTGATATATTCAACAAAAGAGTCTTTAAATTTATCGTATTGTAGGTATATTTTTTAAATTATCAAATTAAAATTTAATTCAAGTTCAGATCATATTCTAATGAAATAAGATTATAAATTATTATTTATTACATATTGTCAATAGTATTATTTTTATATATTATTATTGTTTATTGGAATCTAAAAATAACATCATTAGTTTCAGGCGTTTCGACTGTCAGAATATAACAAACGGAGAGTATTCGGTAAAATGCCTTTCGAATCTCCAGCACACAAACGCTCAAGTCAACAATGCATTTAAAAAAAATATATAAATCATGACGTGTATGTAAGTGATTTAAAATCTCCTTCATATTTTGTATATGAA